ACACACACACACACAAACAGAGACATGAATACTTCATTATTCTCATCTCAAAAGATTCTGTGTGTTCTTAGTCAGGAAGCTGCTGAAAGATCTTGAAACAAAGCTGTATATACCTTCTGAATTGATCAATGATTTTATACTCCTCAATGATTTCTGTTGAGGGTCTGGACATAGCGAGAAGATGATCAGTAATCCTAAATAACAGAGAAAAAGTTAAAGTGCCGTATATTACTTTGTAATACACACTGTTCTCAGTCCAGCTACTGTAACATAGTTTTAGAGAAAATATGAATACATATTACTGAAATAGATTATTTAGAAAACTGTTACATTGTGTTGATTTATCACAACTACTAAGGTAGAACAATCGTGTGTGTGTGTGTACCAGGATGAGTAGAGGCCTTTTATGGCCTGTTGGTCATCAGTCCAGTAACTTGGGTTGTCATACTTGCAGGCTTGGCCTCCACAGCCGATAGAGCATTGCATATGTTCGGGGACAACATTACGTATTGCTTCTCCTACTATCGTGTACTTCGCTCTGGGAGCTCTGACTGGAGTTATTATAAGGGGGGGGGGGAAGAAAAGTTGGATATTAGACATATTGTATTTAATCTAAAATTGTACATTGTGATGTTTTCATATCCTTAGAAACTATAGTGAAACAAAGAGACTCCATCAAGTATAGGTTGTTCTCTAACAGCTAAATAATTAAGATAATCAGTGGTGCTCACTTAGAGGTGTCTAATCCTAGTCTGGCATTTAAAGTTTGTCATCAGAGCATTACAGTAAAAATAGCCACTCTACTGAAACATTTGAAATGCATTTTACAGTGGCATTTTGGTGAAATAAAAACCTGTAAACTATGCTCGTAGCTGACCACCTTATTGACCTCAAGTCATTAACTGAACTCATTGTATTGATGACCAACTACCATCCTTACTTACAGTATTCCATCAGAGCTCCACCTCTGGTATTTGCATGGAGTGCCATATTAATAGTCAGGCTATCTTCCACAGTCATAGCAGAGCCTGCACACACATACATTTACCTTGTTACACTATAATATTCACTTCATCATATGCATTCTGTAAACAATTGAGGCTGTAGGCCTTACTTTGAGGCAGAAATACAGTACTATTACAGTACAGTACAACAACTGGTGCTTTGTAATTTATTATTTTGGACTATGAAAGTCTCAGTTTGAGATTGAGTGATCAAAATATTTTTATACATGACAAGACAAATTAGAGAGAACCACTTACAAATATACGTTTTGGTCAAAGATCTACATTATAAATCATATTCAAGTCAAATGTTAAGCAGACATAATCCATTTTAAAGGATTGGCAAGCTTCCATTTTAGCTGGTAGTTCTACTTCAGTAGCTCATCGCAGTACAAAATTCCTTATCACTCCTCAAGACCAGTGTGCAAGATAATTAACTTTGAATTAGCTAACAAAGAAATAAATGCAACCAATCAAATGATTAATACAACAAAATAAAATAAGTAATAATTATTTTAAAAAAACAGACTTACCTGTAGTAAGTGAGACAAGAGGCTTGTGAACACCATCTCAGAAAACAAATGGTTCACAGCTACAGTTGCCAACATTTCTGACATCAATCTCAGCTCTGACGTTGTCTTTCCCTCTCCAGGTCTGTGGAAAGTCAATCCTGTGATTTCGATTCGTCTCAGATTATCTCTGTGTTGCGGGGTGGGACACGAGTACTCACAGGATCTTGTGCGCTCCTTTGTGGAAAGCCATGTATCTCACCAGGTTGAAGTACGGGAATATTTTCACCTCAAGAATGTGTTGAGAAGTATAGCAGAGTTTGTGTCCTTCCTAATTCTCACCATGCATATATTCCTCCAGTCTGTGGCTCTGGGGGGAGTGTAGGGCTATTCCTGACTCCTCCTGGATTAGTGAACTAATCTTATTAAAGTAAAATAACCATATAGAGCACCCACTACTTAACAAAAACTCATACTATAGCCACATCATTATTTCCTTTTGCTGGACTGTTATGATACACACTGACAATACATTTTCTCTGTTAATACATATATTACCATTAGTAAACACCTGTCCTGTTCACCTGACCATATTCTCAACATGTCTATTATATATGTGATTAATGAGGCGCTTGCCTATTGTTGTGAATAAGTACACATACATTTTGGATTTTTGTCAAGAGAGTTCAGTGGATGTCTGAAACCAACATACTAAAACGCCTCTGCTTCGCTGCTACAAATAGTTGGACCTTAGTGACATAGCAAGTAGATAAAAACTGATTGGCTTACCTTGCACCTTGCTAAATCTGTTTACATTTAGGTTACTAAGGAGAGCTCAGTCTATGAAGTACAGCTTTTGGAGGGACTTCAAAGCCAATAATCCCAATGCAATCCTAAAATGCTGCTGTCCATATTATAGTAAAAATGGATAGAATTCCCTTCTTGATTTATTTAAGTTTAAAATATGCTTTTAGTGAGATCTGTTCCTATACCTTTTCAGCAACTTTTTTTCTCTGTCAAATATTTCATCTTAAATTTGTGGATTCTTGCCAGTTACTTCCTTACTTTAATCCTGCCTAATGCTACTTTTTTTATTCATGGTTGTGCAACGGATCATCAATCCTATAATCTAATTAGAATTATTTATCTATGATGATTATGGAGCTTACAACTTTAAAACATGACAAATGCAGATGCTTTCATACAGGACATAAAAGGTCAGTGAATAGTTTGAAAATAAAACACCTATGGGAGAATGGAGAGGCTTCCAATGACTTGGAGGTTTGTGTTGTGTCTTAATGTCTTTGATTGTTCAGTACAGATATAGAAAAGTAATTTGTCCAATAATTTTCCTTAAAATTACATATTGTTAAACCACTAAAAACATCTCAGTTTAGCTATGAAGAGGAAATAACTACTAAGAACTAATCAGCAACATGATAAGGGGTAACAGAGAGGAACAGGGATAAAACATTCTGTCAACACAAAACTTCTAAGCCAAATGCATGACATGTCGTGTATGTAGAGTGAGATAAGGCCCAGAGTAAATCATAGGCATGACTGTGATTTTCAGGCATATCACACGAGTCTTACCATGGCAAATACAGTGGAGTGCAGAGCCAAGAGCGGTGCAAAACAGAAAAAGAAATTACAGCAACAGAAGAGACACCAACATTTCACAAATCATTCATCAATAGTCAATAAAACAATTAATCATCATTAATATTTAACTCCAGCCCTGATGGGCCTCTGATAAAGTTAAGAAATGGGAAAGATACTTTGTCCTTTTCCATTTCCATTTTGTTAAATGTGTTGTGCTATCTGTTGTCTTAGTGTTTTCTGAAACTGACTGTTTTCTGACTATTATTATATTACTACTACTATATTAGTATAGGTGGTCAGTAGGCAGTAACACAAATCAGTTTGTAAAAACAGAAAAGCAAGTTATTGACAGCAACCTAATCATTTTTGACAGTTATGATGCTTCCTGTAATTTATAGGATGCAAATGCTTAAGCAAATGTTAACAAACAAACAACTCACATTGTATTACAGATTTCATGAAGTATGTGAGTAAAATGTGATCACAGGCAGAAGAAAAATCAAAAGAAGACACTGTTTGAAACAAATAAAATCAGTGTTAACAGTCACATACTTGTTTTGTCAACAAGTATCCTTAGATGAAACATGTCTTGTGATCCCTTCAACCATGTGATGCGTTAGATTTCATCTGTAAGGTGAGTGTACTCTTATCCGTAACCGTTATCATAAAGGCTATCTTTCTAAGTCTAACACTAACTAATCAGTGGTGTAATAAGTGAAAGCAGCAATACCATAATATAAAATACTAAATACTAAATGTCTTGCATTCAAAACATTACTTGAGTAAAAATAGTAAAGTATTATCAGCAAAATTAACTTAAAGAATCAAAAGTAAAAGTACTTTAATCAAAAGAAAAAATCCCCCTGAGTTTAATATTACATATATTACTCGATTGTTAATACATGCATTAATACATTCAAGTAGCATTTTAATGATTTAGCTGGTCGATGTGCAGCTAATCTACTTTATATACCGATAGCTAATTTAATCTTTAAATTCCCCCTTCACTCAAAAATGTTTTTCTTCTTGTTGCTACAGTTGGATGTTTGAGCATCGCTGTGCAGAATGATGTATGTGCAGAGTTTGACACTCGAAAGATGTTTTTCGAATTTATCTGCTGAAAGTGGAAAGTTTCTCTGTGCTCACTGAAAATCTGAAACATGATTTGCGGCATCACAAATAGTTTGGAAGTCAAGCCTGGTGTCCAGTATGTAACTTATAAAAGTATGATGAAGAAACTTGAAGCCACCAGTGCAAATAAACTGATAATTGACTTTACAGTGAAGCTGGAGACATCTTGTGTCCAGCAGGAAAACTTGAGTGAACACAATTTGCATTTTTATAGATTCTGGACTTTTTAATGAGACAAAAGAAGTAGAAGCCTTATGTTTATTATTTTAATTATTTATATATATAAAGATATCAGACAAACATTCTGATAAGCAAGCATATTATTGTATATATGTCTTAATACATGAACAGTACATGTTAGGTTTTGTGTATAGCCTATAATTTGAATCTGCAAGTATAGCTGTGAAATAAACGTAGTGGAGTAAAAGTACAATATTTCTATTTGAGATGTAGTTGAATTGAATTGAAGTACAAAGCAGTATAAAATGGAAATACTATAAACTATTTTAAAGTAAAAGTATGAAGTAAAGTACAGGTATATCAAAAATATCCATTACATCAGTACATTTCCACCACTGACAATAGACCTTTTTCACAGCAGACATTTTAATTGTTGTAACATGAAAAGCACAGGTGTAGCCTTATGGATAACATGAGATGGCTCTGTTCAAAAACCCTGCAGACCAAAATGGAATTCAGCCATAAATAATGTTATTAATTTCACTTGTGTTCCTCCCATTGACACTATATATATACATTGCCCTAATGACATGTCAAATTGTCAGCCGTGAAAAAAGAGTCTTAGGTACGCACTTAATTATTATAACAAATTACACAATATAATAATACAATTCAAGAAAGAAGAAGTAAGAAGTAATTACTATGAATATTTACTCATGAAAATGAGTGCTTTCATTACACGTAGCTAGAGTAGAATAATAAACAGGTAATGGAAATAGGGAGATGGTGTAAAAGCAGGAACCAGTGTAATCTCTGACCTCTTCATTAATAACGTTTTAAAAATCTCACACTGGCTTGATTTCAGTGCAAATGAGACCCTTTCATATGTGAACACATTTACCTGAGATTATATTAATGCATTAACTCTTCCGACAGATGGCAGCAGATATACATGCACAGCTGCTACAGAGCAGCCGTCAGGCCGTCTGTTCTACGACATAAAACCGCTCGGACAGAGATTTCCGTGCTCTACATAAGCACATAAACAAAGCCTAATGGGAAATGAGTCCAGTTCCTGGCGTAGGCAGAGCCCCTTTCGTTGGCTTCACGCACTACAAGTACTACATTTCCCGAAAAGCACTGCCTCCCTGTAGGAGCTGCCCCAGCTGGTTGCGTAGGTGCAACGCATTCAGCAAACGGACCATTCAGCTGTTTCAAACAAGCCGGTGCTGATAACAAGAGCATACCGGAAGCGGATCTAACTAGCCTTCAAAATAAAAGAAAAGCGCACTTACAATTTAGTGATTTATCAACATATTTACACGTGCTGCATATTATTACTACGTGTATTTTTTTTCTGTTCGAGTACGTGGACTAAGTAAAATAAACCTACAACCACACATGATTTAAAGACTAATTTCTTCGACAAGAGTTTTATTTTGAAAGTACGAGCCAGAAGTTGTACATCCTTTTTTTTTTTGTCTTGGCAGTCGGTACTCCTGCTCCGGCGCTTTCGCTCCGACAAGCCGGGGGAGAGGTGAAGGCAACGCAGCCTCTCAACGATGGAGCATTTTTAAGAGATAACGACGAGCTCCCCCGTCGGAGATAATTGAACCGAGTCATCTACATGACCAAAGAAGCGAGACCGGCAACGAGAAACGCAAGCGTAACAATCATGCAATTTAAATACAGACGAATTTGAGCAACCGCTTCTTCTTCAAGGTTACATCTCTTGAAGACGCCCCCTCCCCAACACCCCCACCCCA